GGCCGGGACAGCGGCGGGGAGCCCGGGCCGAGCGCCGCTCCGCTCCGCACCGCCCTACCATGGTGGGGGATCACTGCAGCCTCCCCGGTGAACGGCCCGTGCTCGCCCAGAGTCCCAAGCCCGGATTAAGCTGCAAGATGGTCCTGCAGGCGGTGGGCAAAGTGCTGCGGTAAGGACGGGGCCCACGGGGCATCCCGGGAGAGGAGGGAGCTGGAGCTCGAGTGAAAACTGCGGCCGGGGCGACGGGCGCTCCTGAGCCCCGCCGCTCTCTGCAGGAAGGAGGGAGGCTGCTTTTGGCTCCCTCTGGATCCTGTGTAGCGATCGGGGAGGCTGGAAGTTGGAAGAGCAGTAAGCGCTTGGAGACGAACGTTTGCTCACCCTTAATACGGCAGTTGGGTCTTGTTGGTGCTTTCATGAGAACTGGCTTTCCAAGACGTAAGCAGACAGCGAAGGTCCTGGATTGCCTCAGTAAGGATTCCGACCAAGATGCTACATATGCTTTGGCAAGTTTTCTACAGAAATGTAAGATGAGGGGGAAAAATTGCTCATGCAGCTCAGAAGGGCTTGTGTGAACAGTGAGACGTGGATGATTGCTGAGACCAAAACCAGACTCCTTGGCAAAGGATGTGCGGTAGTTTTGTTCCGAGGAGTTCTGACCCGTTCTGGTTGGCAGGGAAAAACGTCACCACAAATATTAGGATTAGGAGCCTCGTTCTTCAACAACTGCAGCTTTTTTTATTTTGGTTGTGTTCAGATATTCTTCTGGGATCTGTGGAGATTTGCAGTGCTGCTCCAAAAAGGAGCCTTGTTCCTCCAGCATAACTTTATTTGGCAGGCTTTCGTTCGTCCCCGTTTCCTACTGTCTGTTGCCAATTGTTAAATGTTTGTCAACAGAAACATTATCCCTCTCTTCCTCTGTTGACTCATGTCTCTCCCCGAGCGAGTTTAAGGGAGCCATTTATTAAAGCAGGGTGTTCTGATCACAAAGCGGCTGAGCTCTGGCTGGGGCTTCAGCTAGAGGAGTTCGCTGAGCTTGAAGCAGCCTCGGTGGGAACAGCTGCTGAGATTTGCTCTTTTAAAAGTCCTGTAGTGTAGTTGGTTGGATTTTTTTCTTCCCTGCTAAAAATACTTAACCCTAGAAAACGTTAATTTAAAGAACTGAAGGGTTTTTTTTTTTCAGCTTTTTAACAAGTTTAATGTCCCTTCTTTGCATTTTTGTGGGGCAGCGTGTCTATAATTCAATATGGTGTTACACAGCTGGTCATATCATAAAATCCTTTGGCCAGAGACTTGCTATTCACGATGTGAACCTTTTGAAGTTTTTGGTAGCTGTTCTATTGGCAGCTCTCCCAGATGTAAATAGATGGGTGCCTCTGTAGGGAAGAATTGCCAAACCTTTTGTTAAGTATCTATGGCGATTTATTTTAAAGTATAGGTAAGTTCTGTGATTTAGCAGTGAAACATATCTTTTTAATTTGTGCAGCACACACTTTCTAAGAAGTGGAACATTAACTTCAGCCTTTCTTCTCTTACTGGCATACGTGCAGAAATAGTGCATAATTTTGCTTTTCTTCTGAGATTTATTTTCGATGTTTACTATAAAACTATTGTGAAAGCAGGAGAACATTGTCACACATGCAATGCTTTGAACTCAATAATTAATAGCATAACTTTATTTTGCTGAGCTGTTGCTAGATAGAAATGATTACTATTTTGTAGATGAGTGTTCTTTTAATGTGTCTTTTTGTTCTGTGTTATCTCCTTTTGTTTGTGGTTAGAGAGCAGTGTGAAGTCACAAAAACTTTCTTTAGATGCCAGACTGGTTCTCTTATTTCTCCTCTAGAATCTGCTTTGGATGCCTTATCTGACCTTACGTGTGTTACAATCATCTTGCTTTGTTCTGTAAAGCATAAACTCATCCTATTCTGTAAAGAGCTCAGGCAATGTGAAAGCACAGGCACTGATGAGGAGCCAGGTAGATGCTGCATCCAATCAAATTTCCTTTTTGCAGAAATGAGATATTAGTGCTTCAGAAAGTGTAAGCCCCAGTTAGTGATGGCAGGGAGAAGGAACCACATGGGACCTCATTTAGGCCAAAAATGGTGGCTTGTTGGTGACAGCTGGGATGGGATTTCTCTGAACAGAGGCACCCACAGCTGAGCTTCATCTACATTATTGTCAGTAGACAAGAACAGGGACCCTAAATGTCCTGGAAGTGCAATGCCACGCCAATAAAGTGACCATCTTATGTGGTAATACATACATTGTAGTCATAAGAAGTTAAACTAGATATATCCCAAATTACTGTAGTATCTTGCCATCACTTTCAGAATCAAAGTGGTATCAAATACCGCTTCTAAGCGTGGCCACCTGAAACTGCTGATTGAGTTTGCTGCTCTCTACACTATGCTAAACTCTGTGTGGAGTAATTTTTCTTCTATTGATCAGGCCATCGCCAGTGGCTTGGTGATGAGATCAAAGGATATCTTGCTTGTGCACAGCCTAGTGTTATGAGCAGTTCCCACTGCATTTTAGGCCCTTTTCTCAGGCCTAACTGGGAACTATCAGAATCACAGTTTCCTCCCAGCCTGCCAAGGAATTGCAGAAATTCACAATGGACAAGGGATAGAATGCTTGTGTTCACTCTAAACTGCCTCCACTCCCGTCTCTCTCCTGCTTGTGAATTATAAAGCTCAGTTGTTCTTGTACAATACTTAATCAGTTTGATTTCCTGCATGGCAGATTTGTTGTGTTATTTACGCTGAGTGAGTAGTTACAACTAACACTCGATGCTTTTAACGTGTAGGTCCAGCTCCTCCTGCCCGCTGGGTGCTGGGTACTGTGTGTGTCACACGTTAGTAACAGCTGCCAGAGGAGGAATCAATACACGCAGGAAACGAGGAGGGAGGTGTGAGGAAGCAGAAAGATTTCATGAGAAGAGCAGTCCTGAGAACCTGAGAAGAGTTTAGAAGAGCGTGGGGGAAAGACAGCTGAACCATAAAGGGGGGAAGAATGTAACAAAAGCAACAGATGTGTTCTCAGTCTTTCTAATTAATGTTTTATGAAAACCATGGTTAGGTTTATTGCTCTTTTAAATTATTAGTGATTCAGCTGTGAAGAACTCTGGAGATGCTTGTATCTTTCATCATATTGGTTAGTAAACTGTGTTTAACACTTCAGGGATGGGAGCAAGGCTACGCACTTATAATGATTAAAAAAAATTGAGACACCAGTAGAAAAGTGTCATCTCCCCTTTAAATTAGTCACAGCATAGCTGAGAGGTTCCTTAACACGGTGTTTAATTAAGGCTGTTTAATTTCATTTCACTTCATATGTTTTTGAAATATGTTAATGTAATTTCTTTCCCATTTCTGTACAGAATGGTGCTATTATTTAACCCACAATTAGAGAGCAAGAAAAACCTAAAATGGATGCAGTTTTTCTGGTTTTTGTTACTTTGATTTCTGTGAGTTGGTGGTTCTTGAGAGAGATGGAAGGGGAAAGGGCAAAGAGTATCATGTCAAAACTTGGAATACTATTCTATTTTTAAGCATTATTTCATTAATTGTCTGAGTTTCTTGTGACGCTGTGGATTCCTGTCAGCTTCCTTGCAGAGGTCTGCATTTTACTGGCCTCAAGCAGCACAAAGTGGAAGGAAGACTGAGGTTTCTGGGATCTCTCCCTTTATTGGTCCCAGCAGATAACAGAGCCAGCCATAAGCGTTTTTTGGAGCCACACGCTGCTGATTTCAGGACAAAATGTTCACTCTCTGTGCCAGTGCCTGAGTCCTGATGTAGATGCTTGAGTGTGTTTGCAGTGCTGTGACACTTTGGGTCCTGTGCTGGCGATTTTCAGAGGCTGTTCCCTGTGCAGCTTCCTAGTTCTATGTGTTTCCTTCTAAGTCTCCAGTGAAACAGAATCCCTCTGGAATAGTTGACTATTAATCAGGGATACGGTGGTAGGGAAGAGGAATGATGCAGTCTACACAGATGTCACTGTGTAATGTCTTTTGATAAATTCCAGTATGGTTTATATGTACACATTGTCCTGGATGAGTGTGGAAATAGGTAAGTTAAAACTTCCCTTTCTCATGAGAGCCTCCCTTTTTACAGCATTGTACAGGCATTGATTTGGATAGCAACTAAAAACAAAACAACCAACCCCTCTCTTTTTTGGGTAAGTGCTTTTCAAGAGTGTAGTTATTTGTCTTCAGTGATAGGGTGATAATGATTTTTCATTTGGATAAATTAGCAAGTTTGAGTTGGCATTCTGGATGCTGCTATGTATTTTTACAGCAAGAACTTGAAAGTTTTTTAAGAATTAAATTCCGTCTCTTATTTCTCAATTCATACAAAGATGAGGAAGAAACCAGATTGATTTTGGTATTGTATTCTGGTTTTTAAGTGATCATGCAAGGTTGTCTTGTTGTGTTCAGGAGCCGGAACATAGGTGGGTAGAAGCAGAGGAGCTTCTCTGCTGCCTGGACTCCCATGGCTGAAGACAGCTGTTGTCTGTGATGCTTCTATGTGTCACTAAAGCAAATATTTAAAAAATTAATCCTGTTTTATTCTAATTTTTCAGAAACATTTTTCAGCAATTTAGTCCGATTCACAGTATTAGAAAGTATTTAGAAGAGCCTTGTTTAACACTAGCTAATCTGATTAATGCAAAAGCCTGGGACAGGCAGAAGAGAGAAGGAAGGGAGGGCAGTATGCAGGGAAAGGGACTCAGAGGCAAAATGCTCTTCAGAGCCACATTGGCTATTTTTATCCTGTTCTTTTTCTTTCTCCCTCCCACAACTTTCCATTGTACTGAAATAGTTCAAAATGTTTATGGTTCAGGGCAACTGACATCGCTAGTTGTCATGCTGTGTCCTGCTGAATATTTCTGTAACAGGAGCTGATTCCTCATTCAGTGATGGCCTTTTGGGACTCTCAGCTGCTCACAAAGGACTGGTGACACTATGGGACAGTAACATCTTGTGCTTTGGCAAGGGGTGACCAGGCAGGAGGGACTCTGGTGGCTCTTCTGTGGGAATGGGAGCATGGATATGCCTGTGGAGATTGTTCTTTGACACGAGTGTCCTGTCCTCGGGACAGAGCTGGTGACAGGAGGCAGGCCTGGGTGCCTGGGTGGCGTTTCCAGCCTGATGGACTTACCTGGCTGGGA